TACTCCTCTCACTACTGCTGCAGCTGCTGGTGCGTTCATTACTTTTACGGCGACTACGACGACTACTACTACTATTACTACTGCTACGACTGTTACGACTACGACCACTAGTACTACCACCACTCATATTTTTTCTTTTTGCTAGTACTACGATTGTTACATTTTCTACTGCACCACTGATATGATTACTACTGATAATAACGTTACGACTGCTCTTAAAACTATTACTTCCACTGGGACTACTACTGCTACCACTACGACTACGACGACGGCGGCTACTACTAGTTCCAGTACTACGATTACTCCGGCTACGACTGCTACTGTTGTCTGGACGTTGGTTACTACTACTCTCATTGTTGTTACTCTTACTACGACTACGACTGCTACTACGACTGCGATGACGACGACGACGACGACGACGACTACTACGACTACGGCTACGACATATTACTACTACTACTACTACGACGACGACGACGACTACGACTAGCACTATTACTATGACTTTTCTAGTATTACTACGATTTCTACTACTACTACTACTACTACTACTACTACTACGACTACTACTGCTATTACTACTACTACTACGACAACTTCGACTTCTACGACTAACGTCACTACTACGACTACTACGAATACGACGTCCGTTGCTCCAGTTTCTAATTTCATTTCGATTGTTATTATCAGTAGTTGTGGTCTTCCGACCACGACTACATTTATTAGCGTTGCTACAACTGTCACTACGATTGAGGCTGCGACTACGACTGTTATTACTACTACTACGACTTTTACTATTACTTCGATGTTGTTATTACTATCATTACTACGACCATTCGTACTACTACCACTACATCTGCTATTAGTATTATTGCTACTACTACCTGTATTATGATTACCACTACTACCAGTACGAATACTAGTACTGCTGCACCTGCTGCTCTTATGTTTGTGGCGGCTACTACTTCTCTACTATTGTTTATTCACGACTAGTACTACGACGACTACGACCACTAGTATTTCCATTATTCCGCTTATTGAAAAATATTATTATGACAGCTACTATTACCAGTGCACCACTACTACTGCATTAACAACTGCTACTAGTAATATTACTACAATTACTGCGACCACTACTATCACTTCTACTACTACTGCTACGGCTACTACGGCAACGACGACGACGACGGCGACGACGACGACGACGGCGACGACGACGACTGCTACTGCTACTACGACTATTACGACCTCTACTACTACTAGTGCTACCTCTACTACTACTACTACTACTACTACTACTACTACTACTACTACGACTACGACTACGACTACGACCTACTACTACGACCTTTTACTACGACCACTAGTATGCCATCATTGTTGTATTGATAATATTATGTCTACAGCTACTATCATTGCTCACTACTACTGCAACAACAACTACTACTGCGACTATTACTACTACTACTACACCTACTACGGCTACCATTCTTACTTCTACTAGGAATATTATTACTACGGCTACGACGACGACGACGATAACGACGACGACGATTGTTACTGCTACTACTACTACTACTGTTACTATTACTACTACTATCACTACTACGACAACTACGACTTCTACCACTGCTACTACTACTACTACTACTACTACTACTACTACTACTACTGATACCACTATTACTACTACTACTACTACTACTACTACTACCATTATTATTATTACTACTACTACTATTACTACGACTACTACTACTACTACTACTACTACTACTACTACTACTACTAGTACTACTACTACTACTACTACTACTACTACGACTTCTACCACTGCTACTACTACTACTACTACTACTACTGATACCACTTTTACTACTACTACTACTACTACTACTACTACTACTACTACTACTACTACTACCATACTTATTACTACTACTATTACTACGACGACTACTACTACTACTACTACTACTACTACTACTACTACTACTACTACTACTACTACTAGTACTAGTACTACTACTACTACTACTACTACTACTACTACTACTACAGCTACTACGACTACGGCTACTACTAATACTCCTCCTCCTCCTCCTCCAGCTACTACTACTACTACTACTACTACTACTACTACAGCTACCAGGACTAGTACTACGAATACGACAACAGCTACTACGACTACTACAATTACCTTACTACGACGACGACGACGATTACTACTACTATTATTTCTACTACTACTACTACTACTACTACTATTACTGCTGCTGCTACAACTACTACTACTACTACTACTATTACTACTACTACTACTACGACTACTACTACTACTACTACGACTTCTACGACGACTACTACTACTACTACTACTACTACTACTACTACTACTACGACTAGTATTACGAAGACTATTATTACTACCATTACCACGACCACTACCACTACTACTGGGATCTGTCGGAGGTATCGGGGTTCGCGGGCTCGCAATCAGGCGTGGGCAGCCGCACCTACCAGAAGGAGCTCGCGGCGCTGCAGCAGGCAGGCGTTCACCCCAACGTGCTGCGGCTCCTGGAGAGCCACAAGGGGTGCGACGGCGGGGGCCCCGGGCAGCGGCCCGTGTTCGCAAGGTGTAACCAAATACGTCCTCCTCCTCCTCCTCCTCCTCCTCCTCCTCCTTCTCCTCCTCCTCCTCCCCCTCCTCTATTTCGTCCCTCCTCGTCGCCCTCCGGCCTTCTGCAGATCCCAACCTGCGCCGCGAGCGGCCCGGGCTGGGCCAGCGCGGCGGCCAGCGCCGCCTGAGGCCCGCTCCGCGCCCGTAAGTGGAAGGGGTTCGTTCCGGAGGGCGCGCCGCTGGTTGACCCAGAGAAGAGGGGCCATTTCTGGGGTCCGGGTCCGCCGCCCCCTTGCCCGATCCATCGTCCAGGATCCCCCCCACCTTTGTTCCAAAAGGGGGATTCGTTGGTTTGCACCCCTTCCCCCATTTCCTTTTTTTGGGGGGCAGGGATTGAATCCCCCCCTCCCCCCCCCTTTGCCCCAAAATGGGGCGTCACCCCGCCCACTGCAGTCCGACATTAGAGTCGTCGCGGTTCAAGTCTGCATTGTCGCGTGTGCTGCCGTAGAGTTGTCCAGACTCCCGTCTGACTTGATGCGAGGTCGACTCCCTCCTTTTCTTCCTCCCTCTCTCCAACACGTTGCGCTGAAAACAAAACAAATCTTGATTTAATCGCGACAGATGTATCATTGTTCTTTTGTTTTCTATGTTCGGCATCTGGGTGTCCTCGCTGGACACCAGATCCGCAGGAAAAGCAACTTAGTACGAAAAGCCAGTCCCCAGAAAAGGTCGAGGCTTTTGGGGGTCGACGTTGTGAGAAAATCGGGCGGCACGCCCAAGGGGGACGGTAGAGGGAGCGGACCTTCTCAGAACGCTCAGAAGGCCTCCGTCCTTCTGAAATGCTGTATGAGCCTGCCCCAGAAGCCGAAGAGGGTATCCCAGAACGCTGGGGGACTTCTGAGAAGCCCCGGCGCCTTCTGAAAAAAAGACTCCCCCCTCACGCTCACCCCTCGACGCGCCGCCGACAAAATGAGCAGGTACGGCTGGTGTGGATGAGGGCTTTCTGCGATCCGCGGCATACTTGTTTCCACTCGCTACTAGCTACAGAGTGGCGTGGCGCTGCGTGGGGACGCAGCCCCATGGCGCGAAGAAGACACATCATAAGCTTTCGGAGCTCCGTGTGGATTTCGTGGACCCCCCTGGCGGCACCTCCAGCGCCGCCCCTGGCGCGCTCCGCGCGCCAGGGGGGGAGGTCCAGCGCCAATCCAAGAGATCCGCACGGAGCCCCGAAACTTTGCGAGTCCGCAGTTTTTGTGTACCTCTCATGGTGGCGCAGTACCGTCGGCTTGGCATCGCTCGGACGTGTGCATTCTTCCTTCGGCGAGGACCATCGAGGAACATCCTTGATCATTTGGCGGAAAAACCACGCGCGGAACCAAACAAAAACACAGGGAATGGACGTCCGAGCAATGGCGAGGTCGGTCTGCGTGGCACACAGCCAACGCGCGGCCATGGAGGGCCCCCCTGTGGAGCTCTCAAGAAGCCTGGGGGCCTCCAGGGGCTTCTTGCGACCTGACCAGAGCGTCTTCTGCTGGGGGTTCTTGGTACACACAGACACATCACACGAGGCACCCTAGGTACAACCCCCAAGTGCACAAAACTGTACCCCAGAGGCCTTTGACACCAAAGAGGCGGCAGGAGGAGGGAGGAGGAGGTACGAGCAGAGGTGCGAGGAGGTCGCAGAGCGTCCAGGCCTCCAGGGTGGCTCTTCAAGGGAGAGGCGGTGCCGTGGCCATGGAATGGCCCAGCGTCAGGAGGGAGCAACAGCACACAGACATAAGTATCGTCGCTTCCCAGGAGGATAAAGGGGAAATATGGGAAGCGGAGGGGGAGACGAACATCCAGGAAGCATAGGGGAATCCTGGGATTTGTGACTATTGATTTGTGTGTCCCTGGGCCCCTTCGCAGTATGGGGCCGCAGCCCTTCGACACGGCCAGGTCCAGCCTCTTCAGCGCTCCGCGCACGACCTGAAGAGTGCTTTGGTTTCCCCATCTGGGCCATGAGGCGCGTTATGCCCCCTCCCTCCCCACCCTTCCCCCCCCATAACGTAACTGGAGGGGCCTAGAATCGACACAGATCCGCACCAGAGCGTCCCAGAACGCTCTGCACCGGCCGCGGCGCCCGATGCATCCTCCAAACCCGCTGATTCTCAGAGACTCGGGGGTGGACAGAACCCCCACCCTGACACGTCGATTAGTCCGTTTTCGGTTCTCGAGAGGGCGCCGCGGCCGTCATTTTCCAGACTTGCGCCCGCCAGGTTTGGGCTCCAGGTCGTTTTCACTAAACCACGCTGTGCTAAAGGGGGTTCTGCCCATCCCCGAGAGGCTCTCGAGTCATATCGGTCCGATGGTGTGTCGACTCTGCCCTCGTATTGCGCCCCATCTGGGCCCCCGGCACCGCCGCAGAGCGTCGGGCGCCGCAGCCTGCCACGGTGGGGGGTGGGGGCGTGACGCCATGCTCCCCCCCGGAACGCCCGCTGTTCTCACCGGGCGCTTTCCACTACTCGCAGAGTGCCCACTCGCAAACGCGCGAACAAGAACACACGTCTGCTTCGATGTGAGTTCTCGTAGATCCCCCCCCGGCTGATCCAGGCCATTGGCGAGCAGCCACTTGGCGAGTAGTGGAACGCGGTCGTCTATATTCAGGCGATCGCAAACATTGATCAAGGGGGCGTGGATTAGCGACGGGTCCAGCTTCCATAGGAAATCGCGGATTCCCGCCGCCGAGCGAGGCGGCACTGGCCGCATTTCGGGAAGGGCACCTCCCCCGATCCATGGATTTGGCGACCGCGCGCCAATTCCATAGATTGCGAATCCATGTTTGCGCGCCCTCGAGCTATCGCCGCGAATAAAATAACCTGGCGAAGGACCCAACCATATGCAGCTTTGAATACCGCAAGTATAAATATCATCTTCGCCCGCGCTCCGTATGGGGCCACGAACCGTGTGAGGGGCGTGCCGACATGCGTGGCGGGGCACACAACGCGAGCGAAGACGATAGGTCAGTGCGCGAGAGACTGAGAGCGCGTGAGTCTGATTGTGGATGAGTCTGCGCGCGCGTGAGTCTACGTGCATAAATGTCGACGCCCATGACGGCGCGCCTCTCACGAGGATCGCGCCCGCTTCCTTCCCGTTCTTCTTCTCCCTCTTTGCCTGTGCACGCCCACGTCCAAGGCCGCGGGCGCGGCGCCGCGCGGAGTCCCCGCGACGCGCGCTGCTCGCCCCGAAGGGATCCCGGCGACGCGCGCGGATCGTCCGCTGCGCGGAGCAGAGCGAGCGAGCAGGCTGGCTCCCGCCCGGGATGCGCCGCTATGCGGGCTGCGCCACTTGGACCTTAGATGGAGCTCCCTATGGGGCCACGAAGCGTGTGAGGGGTGTGTCAAAATCGGGCGGCGCCGCCATGCGAACCCTGCCACTGGGGCCTTCGGTGGAGCTCCCTATGGGGCCACGAAGCGTGTGAGGGATGTGCTAAAATGGGGCGGCGCCGCCATGCGCACCCTGCCACTGGGGCCTTCGGTGGAGCCCCCCATGGGGCCACGAACCGTGTGAGGGGTGTGCCAAAATGGGCCGGCGGCGCCATGCGGGCGGTGGCACTGGGGCCTTCGGCACAGCTCCCTGCGGGGGCACGAAACGTGTGAGGGGTGTGCCAAAATGGGGCGGCGGCGCCATGCGGGCGGTGGCACTGGGGCCTTCGGTGGAGCTCCCCATGGGGCTACGAAACGCTGTACTGTGTGGGTGAAACGCAGGGAGGAGGGAGGAGGGGGAGGAGGAGGAGGAGGAGGAGGAAGGGTGGAGGAGGAGGAGGAGGAGGAGTAGGAGTAGGAGGAGGAGGAGGAGGAGGAGGAGGAGGAGGAGGAGGAGAACGCGGGGACCGTCTCTTCAAAACGAGGACCCAACACCACAGGACGGTTGGGAAAAATGCTGTGGCGCGAGGGTTGGAAGGGAAGTCGACCTTCTGAACCAGGTCCAGCCATGCAGTACTTTTCTGCACCGTGCTACCCGAGGCAAGCCAGCACTGCTCTGCCTCCAGCATCTACAGTTCCCCACGCCATGCCTCTCAGGCAAGGCTCAGGGGCCGATCGTTGAGGAGAAAACGTTTGGGAGGGGTCAGGCAAGGCGGTATTGCGCTGCAGCTGGTAGCTCGGGAGCGCGGGTCAGCAGTTATGTTTAGCACGGACTGTGACTTCGGGAGCGCGGATCCAGTTGTCCCAACCATCCTGTGGTATTGGGTCCTCGAGTTGAACGTGTTGAAGAGACAGCGCCGCGCCCCACCTCCTTCTCCTCAGCCCCTCCTTCCTGCCTCTGCTCTCCGCATGCCCATCGCGGCACACTCCTCACACGCTTCGTGGCCGCATGGGTCCAAATGCCAAGCCGCATAGCGCCGCCGCCTCATTTCGGCACATCCTTCACGCGCTCTGTGGCTCCATAGAAAGCTCCACCGATGGCCCAGTGCCAGGTGCCAGGCTCCGCATGGCGCACCCGCCCCCAATGCGGCACACCCTTCGCGCGCTTCGTGGCCCCACAGAGCTCGCCGAATTCCCCAGCGGCAGCACTCACACGGTGCCGCCTCGCCAGGATCTGCGCGCTAGTCCGTCATGTTGGGTGTCCCCCTCGCTCGCTCGCTCTCGGCCGAAGTGTCATGCAGATGCTGGTTGTCCCCCTCCTTTTCCTCGCCTGCCTCACGGTGTTCGCGGTCATGCCATGGCGTGTGGTCCACACGGTCGCACGATGCTTGATGGGCCTGTTTTCCACCACCACCACCACCATAAGTTGGAGGGGGGAAGGAGGTGGAGGAGGAGAAGGAGGAGGAGGACCCCCTCCCCCTCCTACATATGGTGGTGGTGGTGGTGGAACGCAAGCCCACCAATGCCTGTGTGCTCTGGCCCTTCGCCAGGAAGCATGTGCTACGGAGGGTCGCGGCGTCGGGATGGCTTCGGGAGCGTTGGCCCACAGCTGTTTGCAAGAGATCGTGTCCTGGGGAG